AAAAAAACATTTTTAGTGAATTGTTGGCCTTCTGGAAAGTATGTTCATTTACTGTACATGTGCTCAATACTTGGTTGGGCTTCCTTTTGCTTTAATTACTGCATCAGTGCGGCGTGGCATGGAGACAATCAGCCTGTGGCATTGCTCGGGTGTAATGGAAGCCCAGGTTGCTTTGACAGTGGCCTTCAGCTCATCTGCATTGTTGGGTCTGGTGTCTCTCATCTTCCTCTTGACAATACTCCATAGATTCTCTATGGGGTTCAGGTCTGGTGAGTTTGCTGGCCAGTCAAGCACACCAACACCATGGTCATTTAACCAACTTTTGGTGCTTTTGGCAGTGTGGGCAGGTGCCAAATCCTGCTGGAAAATGAAATCAGCATCTCCATAAAGCTTGTCAGCAGAAGGAAGCATGAAGTGCTCTAAAATTTCTCCCTAACTAACTATTAATAAGCAGCAAAGTAGTAGTTTATTGAGGCAAAAGTCGTAGTTAATGGTTTGTTAATATGAGAATTGGACCTTACAATAAAGTGTGACCATTTTAAATGTAAATTAAAGCGATAATTCGCTCAAAAATGACCATTCTGTCATCATTTACTCACACCCAAGCTGTTCCAAACCTGTATGAGTTTCTTTCTTTTGTTGAACATAAAAGAGGATATTTTGAAGAATGCGTGTAACCAAACAAACAATTGATGGCCCATTGAGTATTATTTTTCCCCCTTACTATGCAAGTCACTGGGGTCCGTCAAATGTTTGGTTACACGCATTCTTCAAAATATCCTCTTTTATGTTCAACAGAAGAAAGAAACTCATACAGGTTTGGAACAGCTTGGGTGTGAGTAAATGATGACAGAATGATTATTTTTAGGTGAACTTTTAGTAGTCTTTTTGGACCATTGCATATTTACATTTGAACGCACACTAGCTAGTGATCGGTTAAGCATTAGCCTATATGTTATCATAAGTGTTTGTGATTTTGTATAGTTTTTATGAATGATGTCGTCTTTGCTGCAGGAATCAGCATCGCTGGTGAAGAGGAGATCCCTGTCTCTCCCGGCTCAGCTTGTTCATCACAGTCTATTTAGACGCAGCGCCCAGCACAGAGAATACCCCGTCTCTGAGCAATCTCGGCCCTCAGACTCAAACCCTGAGGGGCCTCGTGTAGAGTGGACACTGCCGGGCTTTATTTCCATTTTCCTGCCGGAATTTCCTCACAGGTTTACTGGGCATAAGCATTTACAGGTAGTTCATAGCCACAAGTCATAAAATCCTCACATAAATCACCCAAAAATGTAAATTGTCATCATTTACTCTCCCTCAAGTCAAACCTGTATGACTTTCTTTCTTCGGTGGAACACAAAAAGAGACATTTTGAAGAATGTACCTTTAATGTTCCACAAATGAAAGACATACAGGTTTGACAGTTTTCATTTTTGGGTGAAATGTCTGAAATGAAAAAGTAACATCTTATCTATGCACAATCAGCTTGTAACACTCCAAAGAGAAAGGAAAACTTGAAATCGCATCATATGACCCCTTTAAAGAGAGAATTTTTTTTGAGTAATATGCTTTAAAAGGGTGTATTCAATTGTGAACTGGATGTAATGTTAACTGAAATTAAATGAAAATGTACCATAGTTTATATTACATGCTATTAGTTGAACTTAGAAATGCTTTTTTGATGACTAGGACTTAAGCATCTTTATATGTAATTTCATAATTACTTCTGTTGTACTGCTGAATGTATTGATAAGCTTTTATGGTAAACTAAAATATGCTTTATTGTCATTTCTATTGAAACTTATATGTCAGGTATTTAAATACATTTGTAATTACACATTTATAGCAATGAGGTTGTAATTTAGTACATTTAAAAAATATTTACTTTAAATGTTAACAATTTTTTTGATTGTTTCTTTAGTATGTTAGTCAGCACATCAAAATAAATGTATTTCTTTAAAGCATAACAAAAGGTTATTAATATATCATTATTTAAAATGTACTTGAATTTTACATTGCAAAGTGCACTTTTTAAAAGTGTACTTAAGTATGTTAGGAAATAATCATGACAGTGTACTCTTTTTAAGGACACTCCAAAGTGGCATTTTATATATACTTTTTTTTTAATTACTTTTAAGATTTGAAGTACACTACAAGTGCACATTCAATACCATTAATCACACTCCCTTTAAATCCTGTGATTTAAAACTAGTTTGTCTTTTTTAATCAGTGATTCTTTTCTCAGATTCTTGGTTTTGTAGCTAAAGGCTCGTTTGGTCCAATCCTGAAGGTGAAGGACATGTCTAAAGATGAGACTTATGCTATTAAGGTGATTTATTCTGCGTTGTTCTGAATTCCCTGTCATGTTATTGCCTTTTGGAAAATGTGTTTTGTTTGGTACGCTCCAGAATTTCTGCTGTCACTGTTGGTTAGGTTTTACCCAAAGCTGAGGTTTTGAGACATGGAGTCCTCCAGCAGTCCAAAGAGGAGGTGATCATTCAAGTGAGTCACACTGCGCCGCTCTCAGTCTGCGCTCTGTGTCAGCTATAGCTCGTCTGATCTGGCTCTAACCGGGCCAGTGAGACATGGACAACGCTGACTTCCTCTCAGTCAATACCCTATAAGCATGCACACATTTCATGCTTCAATTGTTTTGCTCATGCCATTATGATTTCTTCCCACTTCCTCTCAGCGCCTGCACTCACGTCCATCTCATGTTGTGTTGTCAACTGTTACATTGTAGCGACAAGTCAGACATCCTTTCCTCCTCAGTCTCCGGGACTGTTGGCAGAGCCAGAGCAATCTCTTCATCAGTGAGTCACACCACACACATACCCACTGTCCCACTCCTTATTTTCCTTGGCTTTAAAGCAGGGGGCTTCAAACTGGGGTGTCCAGAGGGCTTTTGAGAGAATGAACATTACAAAAGTTACAAAATGAATTCTGTAAGGTATTTTTACAACGTTAATGTAATATATAAATTAAATGTATTATATTTTTTGTGTGTGTGTGTGTGTGTGTGTGTATATATATACACACACACACACACACAAATATAACACATGTAATTTATAACACACTTACTGAACTTCATTACTTAGTTTTTCTTTCTGCTTTCTAAAGACTGGTCTGAAATCCTGACATTATTTTATTCTACTGACAAAAATATTTTATATATTTAAAAAAAAAAAAAAAATTTTAATATAAAAAGCATTTCAGTATTTTATTTGACTTTAAGAATTTATCCTCAACACAGTCATCTTTAGCTTGCTTACTGAAGGATTTATGGCAATATTGTCTCCAAGAATATGTAAATGTAATATTTTATATAAAATAGCTTTACAAATATACTTTACAAATATATTAATTAACCTAATTACCAACTATATATCAAATATTTTCCAGGTAATATTGTAATGTTATTATATTAATATACTAATTAATTAATTATCATTTGCATGCTGTCTTTATATTATCACATTTTTCTTACACAGTGAAATGGTTTTTAACAATGAAAATAAGTATTAGGTACTACATAAATATTTGACAGATTTTATATATATATATATATATAGTGAATAAAATGACAATACAGTATAATTATGTATTTATTCATTCAGTCATATAATTTATTAATAATATAATTGATTTAACTCTACAAGCAGCATGTCTTTTTAAAATATATCACATTATATATATATATATACATATACATATATTAGCAAGTTTGTCTCTTACACAGGAGTGATTGAAAAGGGGCCTCAGATATGTAGGTTCAGTATTTAAGGGATTGAATAAATCTGACAGCATTATTACCAAAAATATTACATTATATATTGGCATGATCACTTTTAATATACTATTAAACTGTTATAGATGCATTGAAAAAAACTATGGATTTTCAGAAAAGCATGTGTGTGTGTGTGTGTGTGTGTGTACATATATACTCGCAATCAAAATTCAACCCCGTTATATTTTAATAATTCAGAACGATCTGTATTTAAAGATATTTAGTTCCTTTTTAAAATAATCATTAATTCCAAATTTATCCCACAATTTTCTATACAATTTCCTTATTGGAAGACATAATTATACCTATTTTCTCAACCAGAGAAATATCACTGCTGCTATTGTGTGGTCTAGACATTTATTATGCAGTCAGGAATATATATATATATATATATATATATAAAAAATGTGCTTAAATGGGAAATTACAAATTTGTAACAACTTCACATTGTATAATATGAACATATATGCATAGTTCATCCACGTTACTACTATATATATCATAAACAAATTCATATCATATTTTAAAAAAGCAAACATATACACATATTTGCATAAGTTTCACATATACCAAGACAACAACCATATACAGTATATATACATATATACTGTGTATATATATATATATATATCTTTTGTGTCTTTGGATTGTTTTCAAATGTCCATCCCAACTGTGAAGCACTCATTTCGCTTTCAGAAAAGGGAATTGTAGAATAGACACATTAATGCTGTCTCATTTAGGTCACCTATGCTTGACTGATTTCGGGCTGTCTCGCCGTCTTGAGCACGGGGATAGAGCTTTTACTATCTGCGGCACAATACAGTACATGGGTGAGGCTGAAATCTGAACTGCACTCTTTTTAAACGGGAAAGGATTTCCGTAGTAAGACTGTGTTTACCATCAGCTATATCTGACAGTAACTAAAGACACTTATAGCTCTAAGCAAATGAGCTACTTCTGTAAAAATGGATATTTAATTACATGATGTGGTCATTAAACAGCTCCTGAGGTCCTGAGCGGCGGTCCGTACAGCCACGCTGCAGACTGGTGGTCTCTTGGTATTCTTCTCTATGCTCTAGCCACTGGAGGGGTGAGACATATCTAGAGGCTGTACTGCAAGATGAGCATATACGTGATGGATGTGTCCGTCTCAATGTGCAGATCTCAGTGATGTGTAGAAAATGCTACGGGATGCTTATACAGACTGTGAGCCTTTTCTCGATTATTTTGACTTGTAGTTTCCTCTGCCTGCGGAAGCAGATCACTGTGATATGCTGGCCAGTGTCAGTGAGTGTCCATATGACATGCCTGCAAGCCTCAGTCCAGCTCTGGCCTTCCTGCTCATAGAGGTGAGCTGCTATACATAATCTGCATCCATTCATTTAGACTAATTATGATTTATATACTTATACATAATACCATTTTTTTTTTTACATGCATATAGGTTTTGAATATGGTTGATATTCATACACATGCATGACAATACAATAATATAATTGTATTATGTATGTTTAAAATATAAATACACGTAGAAAGCATTTATTAATATATATTTAATGAATTTAATTAATAATCATCTAATGTTGAGCATATACGTGATGGATGTGTCAGTCTCAATGTGCAGATCTCAGTGATGTGTAGAAAATGCTACGGGCTGCTTGTACAGACTGTGAGCCTTTTCTCGATTATTTTGACTTGTAGTTTCCTCTGCCTGCGGAAGCAGATCACTGTGATATGCTGGCCAGTGTCAGTGAGTGTCCATATGACATGCCTGCAAGCCTCAGTCCAGCTCTGGCCTTCCTGCTCATAGAGGTGAGCTGCTATACATAATCTGCATCCATTCATTTAGACTAATTATGATTTATATACTTATACATAATACCATTTTTTTTTACATGCATATAGGTTTTGAATATGGTTGATATTCATACACATGCATTACAATACAATAAAATACAATAATATAATTGTATTATGTATGTTTAAAATATAAATACACGTAGAAAGCATTTATTAATATATATTTCATGAATTTAATTAATAATCATCTAATGTTTATGAGTATTAACAATATATCCATAATAATAATAATCTTATTATACATTCATAAATTATGTATTATAGCATTACATGTTAGTTCTATAATGTATGTTTAAAACATTGATACATTTGTATTTGATGTATTAATGTATTACATAATGTACATAATACATAATGTATTTTATTGATACCCCATATTTTATGTGAAAGATGTAATTTAAGAGTAACTCACACTGAAAATGTATAGTTAAAATATATTTAGATATTTGCGCAAAAGTTTGATTGATATTTGTAAACATACATAATACAATAAAAACCAATCATATGTTTATTTACAGGCTTATAGATTTTCATTATGATTTATATTCCTAGACAGAATATACAATTAAAAAAACAATATTACATATATAAGTGTAATACATATTACAACACATGTATTATGTGAAATATAAATACATGTTAAAAAATAACTGTTTTATTAATATCATCTGATCTTTATGGGTATTAACAATACATCCATAAATATTTTTTATTATTATACATTCATATATATATGGATGCTTATTGTATTAATTAATTCTAATGTTTATTGAAATACCCTATATTTTATGTGTAAGATATCATTTAGAGGTAGTTCATACTAACAATGTTTAATTTAAATAAACATCTCATTTAAATTAATTTCTCAGCATTTTTTTTTACATTTTAATTTCTACCTTCAAATCTGAATGGCGTATAACCCTGTTGTTTATGGAAACTTCCAAAGCAGTCTTCCTCAAACTCTAAAAATCATGTTTGAATACAGCTTCTGTGCAAGATCCCCACACGTCGCTTACACTGCCTGGAGCTCTTTATGGGTATTAACAATACATCCATAAATATTTTTTATTATTATTATTATACATTCATATATATATATATATATATGGATGCTTATTGTATTAATTAATTCTAATGTTTATTGAAATACCCTATATTTTATGTGTAAGATATCATTTAGAGGTAGTTCATACTAACAATGTTTAATTTAAATAAACATCTCATTTAAATTAATTTCTCAGCATTTTTTTTTACATTTTAATTTCTACCTTCAAATCTGAATGGCGTATAACCCTGTTGTTTATGGAAACTTCCAAAGCAGTCTTCCTCAAACTCTAAAAATCATGTTTGAATACAGCTTCTGTGCAAGATCCCCACACGTCGCTTACACTGCCTGGAGCTCTTCCAGAGCCAGAAGTTTTTCCACGGCATGTCTTTTGACTCCCAGCTGCTGCAGAAAAGTCCCATTGAGCCAATCCTCGAGCTGAAGAATCATCCTGACCGACCGGAAAGGTCAATGCGAGGTTTAACATTAGACCTGCTTCAGAATTTTGAGTGTGACCTACTGAACTCTCCATCCACCCCTGCAGATTTGTCTCCTACCTTAATGAAGATTAAGGTAAATGAAGACACAGCAGGGGCTAAAACAAAAGCTATAGGAACCAATTCTCCGTGAAAACAGAAAACCGAAATGAACTCATTTTTTCTCTCTGTAACATTTAGTGTTTTGCCAAAGATGAGATAAAACGGCACAGTATTTTTCTAATAGTTCACCCGCAAATCAGTCTATGTGATCTATGTGATCAGTCTTGTCAATAACAAGTATTACTACAGAGTCTTATTTAATAATCATATTTCTTTTCATCTGAATATACAGAAAGCGTATTAGATTTTTAACAATGTTACCTCTGTTTTGAAAGTTAAGTTTTGCCCTAGTATAAGGCAATATTTGTCTTAATAGTATATGAACTGTTGGGTTTTATTTAGTTCCTGTGTATAAAGGAAAGGAGTATATAATTTCAATTATTATTATTTTTATATCGGTTACAGTGATGCCCAGTTTACTGTGGCACCATAAGGGTGATAATCTGTGACAAATAGATTGTGACCTTTTTAGACACAATATTGCCAGTTACTTTTTTGGAAATAATAGTTCCAAATGAAGCCAAAGCTGAATCAACTTCCCAGGAATAGTATTTTGTTTTTAAAAAATTAATCTGTTTTTGAACAAATTTGTTGAGTGAGTGATTCAATGACTCTCTCAAAAAGACGTGTCACTTTTTTCGCTAATGAATAAATCAGTGGTTTTGAATGAAACATTTGAGTTAATGATTCAATGACTCGCTCATAAAAGATATATCACTTGTTTTCGCTAATGAATGAATCAGTGTTTTTGAATAAAATGGTTGAGTAAATGATTCAATGATTCGCTCAGAGACGAGTCACTTGTTTCGCTCCTAAATGAATCAATGTTTTTTAACAAAAGATTTGAATGAATGATTCAGTTACTTGATAATAAAAATGTACCACTTGTTTCGCTCCTGAATGAATCAATGTTTTTAAACTGAACAGTTGAGTGAATGATTCAATAACTCACTTATAAAGACATGCCACTTGTTTCACTCCTAAATGAATCTGTTTTGAACAAATCATTTGAGACTCACCTGTCACCATCTATTTGTGTATCAGTGTAACCTGCAGAAAGAGTCACTGAAAAATGGTGAAAATTCCATTGTTGGGTACAATATAAAAGGCTAATATGCTACAACTTTACTATTACCAATATATGAAATATGTTGATTAATATATTGATTCACAGATTAAATATACTGTGAAATATACAGTACAGTAGTACAATGGAATGTATAGTGCTATATTTAATAATAATACAATGCAACACAATACAGTTGAGGTTATATTAAGTAGTATGCCGTTATTATGGTAATAAGTATCTGAATATTTATGCCATTATTTGATTATCTGTCATTCTTTCATCAGTTTTCAGCAGTACAGTAAAGATCATTCTCAACATATGTCCCCAAAATAGAACTTCATGTCATTACAATTCAGAAGATAGAATGGTAAAATATATATCTGTGAATGATACCTGGAGACATTTCTCCAACTTTGAGACTTTGGTGTGACCTATTTGTGAGAGCAATGACAAACCCAAATGGGAGCAGCCTTAATAGGGCTGAAAATTGAACACCAGATAAAGCATCATTATTAATGTTTTTAATTAGGTATCAGGAAAAAAAAAATCACAGCCCCAGTAGAGGTGGCTTAAAATATCCATAAATTAACAGTTCTCCTGAGAGTCTACTTCCAATGGGTTCAGTCCTTTATGTATAATGAAACATTGGGTATCCCTCTAAACCTGCCATTTTTATCTACAGTACCTTATTGGTTTCATATTAAGAATTGAACAACAGGCTCCTAAATAAGTCTGGCTATTTCTATATTACATGTGATATGAATAAATTACACTTAAAGCCACTTTTAGGGCATTGCTCACATAATTTCATAACAGATAGATGCTTTAGTAAACTGAACCTCCAAACTTTGACTCTTTTTTGTCCTTGAAAACTAGATCATAAAGTCATCTAAAAATTCTACTCACCTGTATAGAACTAGAAATTATGCCATGACCCCACCTAATTTTTTACCACACATATACTTGAATCTCAGCCGCTCTGTGACTGCCAACATTCCGAAGGGTATGATGGGAGTCTCAGCTGACTAGAGATTTGAGGATTCGCCTGAGGCGTGTATGATCTAATTATATTGTTGACGGGAATACAGCGGATGTGGCCTGAAAGACCCAACAGGTTACAAAGTTGATCCTTCAAATAATGTGGCTTTTAGGCCACCAGGCAGATAATAAAACGGCAAAAAATCCCATTGATTTACACTGAATAGGGGATTCAAGCCATATCTGGGCTATTTTGAGTACATAACTATCCTAACAACCACCCAGAACAGCTGTATAGTAAAAACCTGGCAACCACCCACGCTACCCCACCAAGTTTTGCAGTATAGAAAATGTAAAAAAATCTCATTCGGTTGCATTGCATTGTGAAAAATAATGAGAATCCATGCTGCTAGAGAAATGGGATCAGGTGGGCAACCCTTGGTGGCCTTTAACACCTCCTCCAATAACTTAATGAGGGCATGACGTTAAGCTCCGCCCTTACACAAGTGTCAGCATCCCCTGGGATTTCACCTTCATAAAGAACTGGGACACTGGCACTGTTAAAGAATCAGTCACGTCTCATCTCGTCTGCAGGAAAAAGCCCCTTCAGTCTGAGTCAGTCAGTCCGCTCTGACCTGGTGAGTAATCCCATCTGTTGAATTATCTGCCATCACCATTTTGAGTTACAATTGTTTTGTGAAATACGCAGTGGAGAAACAACTTTGTAAGGTTTTTATTACTAAAAAGTACCATTTAGAAAATCATTTTTAAGTCATATATGCACGATCAGTTTTCTGGATAGCTGTGTTTAAATGCTGCTAAAGGTTCAAAAGGTTTTCAAGAAGTTGAGAATAACATATTTTGCAGTACTTTTGCGATTTAGTTATTCATAAAGAGAGTCATTTATATATGCATAAGGCTTGTAAACTGTGTCTATGTGCTTCAGTTGTGGCTGTGGATAACAAAGTTGCCAGAGTTGCAGAAATCTTTGTTAAGCTTTTGTGAAAGTGAATGCTTGGCATTTCTGAACTGAACAACATTTAGCAGAAGAGCTGCTGCGCCTTTAAGTGAATTAATTGTGTTGGATTGATCTGTTTAACTTTTTTTGTTTTTGATGGCTATTTCATTTCAAAAGAACATTTCACAGATAATTACAAAGAAACAACAAGCAACACTGAATTAAACATGACATTTTAGTAGGAAGACTGAAATTGTATTTTCTTGTCAAATAAACTTCAATATATATATATGAATAATTCAATACATCTAATTAATGTTTATGTTTACTAGATGAGGATTGAACTCGCATACTAGATGTGAGATTAAACTCACAGAAACCAATTTCTAACCAAATAAAGGTTCTATAGTTGTGCATATAGAATAGACTTTTTAAAAATGTCATCAATTTCCATAAATTTTCCAGGCCTGGAAATCACAATTTTAAAATTCTACAACGTACTGTTAATATTAAGGAATTTTCCATATTGATCTTTACCCGCATTTCAAGTTACACACTGTTATGTTTTAGGAAATGTTTGCAAACTTAAAAAAAAAAGGTTACTGGTAATTTTCCTTTAGATTTTAAATTTCAACGTTCTACTTTTTTTTTCTTACATTGTATGTGAACCATACAGACCCTGTTATAAGCATAAACGACTTCAGCACAAAGGCATTAGGCAATATATGGCGATGTCTTTGATATCCCATCTTGATTATGTAATGTACTCGTGTTTATGATTATGTCATTACAATGTTCATATCCTCAGGTTGTGCTGGAAATTTAGGATGACCCATCAGTTTCCGCCCCTCACCACTGAGCAAAAGAAGGAGCTACACGAGATAGCTCTGCGCATAGTGTCAACAGGGAAAGGCATCCTAGCTGCAGACGAGTCCATAGGTTAGTGTGGCTTCCTCCAGTTATTCGTCATAAATTGCAGTGTGAAAGAAATCCGCAAGAACTCACTTTGATCCTGTGGATGTTCTAACAGGCAGCCTGGGGAAGCGTTTGAACCAGATAGGGGTAGAGAACAACGAGGAGAACCGCCGCCTCTACCGCCAGGTGCTCTTCACCGCTGATGACCGCATTGATAACTGCATCGGTGGAGTGATCTTCTTCCACGAAACACTCTACCAATACTCTGATGATGGTGTCCTGTTCGTCAAGATGATAAAGGACAAGGGCATCACTATCGGAATCAAGGTATGAATGTAGGAGTGTTTGTTTTGACATGTTGAACTTTGGTGCTCATGCAGGTGCTGTGAGTTTGAACCTGGCTTGCAGCATTTCTCAATCCCATTTAATCCATAACTTCCTTTCATGTCTGATTAGAAAAAGCATTTCAAGTGCAGTTCAATCAGTGGGATACTTTTGGGACAAATCTATCTGTTTGTCCAAATAATCGCAGATATGGGGAGTGTTCACAAAACCTGCTTTTGGGAAACACGTATTTGAATTTTGTATTTAATTGCACAAAAATTATACCTTTAGGGGTACAACAGCTTGTCACTAGGGCAGTACCCTTAAAGAGGCAACTTAGTTTACTCTCTATTTACTCTAAACTCTATTTACCCCTAAAAAGTTGAAAACTTCAGGGTACACATTACTACTCTAAGATACTAATATGCACCTACTGTACTGATAAAGGTACAATTTTTGCACCTTTTTTCTGACAGGGTGTTTAAGTCAATGAGCTGAATTAAAATTATATTTCATTTCTAAAACATTTTGCCCTTTCTTCACAGGTTGACAAAGGTGTAGTCCCCTTGCCAGGGACTAATGGAGAAACCACTACACAAGGTATTTTAAAGATGTCTGTTCTCTGGATCTGAATATTTGATGAATCAATTTTTAATTTTTATCAGTTCATGCATGTGAATTTAGCTGGAGAACGAACAAATGATTTTGCCGTTGTTAACAATATGTTGTTTGATATATATATATATATATATATATATATATATATACAGTTCATGCATGTGAATTTAGCTGGAGAACGAACAAATGATTTTGCCGTTGTTAACAATATGTTGTTTGATATATATATATATATATATATATATATATATATATATGTATATATATATATATATATATATATATATATATATATGTATATGTGTGACCCTGGAGCACAAAACCAGTCTTCAGTCGCTGGGGTATATTTGTAGCAATAGCCAAAAATACATTGTATGGGTCAAAATTATAGATTTTTCTTTTATGCCAAAAATCATCAGGACATTAAGTAAAGATCATGTTCCATGGAGATATTTTGTAAATTTCCTACTGTAAATATATCAAAACTTAATTTATGATTAGTAATATGCATTGCTAAGAACTTAATTTGGACAACTTTAAAGGCGATTTTCTCAATATTTAGATTTTTTTGCACCCTCAGATTCCAGATTTTCAAATAGTTGTACCTCCACCAAATATTGTCCTATCCTAACATACCATACATCAATGGAAAGCTTATTTATTCAGCTTTGATGAT